CAATTTTCAGTTAATTATCTTTATTCTATTTGAAGATATGGCTAATTGAAAATGCAACTTTACAAATATGTCATAATTGATAGCTAAAAAGGGGTATGACCCTAAAATTTCAAATGGCCGTAACTTCTAAACGACTTGGAATTGGCAAGTCAAATTTTGGGTTTGTTCGTCAGACATGTTGGTGCACATTATATCCAAGTTTCAAGAAAATCTGAGACGGTACCCAGCCATCCCATTTGTTGAGTTGGCACGGAATGACCCAGTAATAGTATTTCTTAATGTTGTCTTTCATTACATAGAGTACAAGCACACTTAAAACATAAATTCATAGACACTACAATCTACATTCATTTCTCTCAGCAACTCCACCAAATTGGCTCTGCTGGCCCCATAGCCATTTTTACGCCTCCACGTATACAGAATTGCAAAATACTGGTCTTTGACGGAGTGCTGATGCTGTACTTGGCACTGATAGAGTTCTGCAGACGTTAGGCCTAGCATACCAGCAATAATGCTGAAGTTTCCACTTAGCTTGGCAGATATCCGCGCTAAGTCTCTCTCAGTGACTCTTGCTTGTGGAGATGCTATTTGCCTCTGGCCATAGTCAAGAACTGTCTGGTTTGCCATAAAAGGCATGGGTGGCACATTCTCAACATTTCCTGACTTCCCAACTAAGATAATAATAATATTAAATGTGATGAATTTTAAAGTATTAATATGACAATCAATATAATAATGATAATCATCAATAGCTTTCAGTATGAAATTATTGTTCTTGTTTTGTGTTTTTATGTTTTTATGCTTTCGCTTCTCCTCGGCTTTTATATCTTCTTGTCTGTTCTTTTATAATTGAATAAATTCATTGGATCCAACGATATATATGTATTTATACCCTGCTATTAGCAGGCTAAACGTCACATAATAAATAGTGAGTAACATCTCAATTTTACACTTGACTTTGATCATCAAAAAGAGAACCTCTAATACATATTTACTGTTCTTTTATAATTTTGTGATTTGCCGAAAGGAATAAAATAAAATATTGAGGAAAACAATGGTTGTTGATTTGAATATTAATGAAAAATAAAAATGATATAACAAATATAAAAATAAAAATAGCCCCTTTCAGACAGAGCTGGAATACTGCAATATTGCGGTAAGAACGCCAATATGAGTTTCTGTTTGAAAGGGTTGATACGCCAATATACCGGCTTAATTTAGGCCACCTTGCACCCTAGTAATATTGCTGCAATATTGCGGTAACAGTTATTGAGTTGCTCTGTCTGAAAGGGTCTACTCAACATTGCAACAATCAAGCCGGCATGACTGTATTATTTATGCATAAACAAACAAGGTTACAGTTGAAAAAAATTGCACGGTGGTATTTAAACTGCCAATACGCCATTCCATAAGACCCTTTCAGACAGAAAAGCGCAAGATTACCGCAATATTGCGGTAACAAAGGCACTGTGTGAAAGGGTATAGACTGGTTATTATGTATGCCAGCATGCTTACATCTATCAGAAAGGGTTTAATAATTTAATAACAAAACAATAATAACAAACATTTACAAATAAAGTAATTTACAAATAAAGTAATTATTATTATAATTTCAGTTTTATGTATTGCAGTCTACTGTAAACCAGACTGTATTTTTACCTGATTTTAAGTACTTACTGAGAATTAAATGGAAAAATTTATTAAGAATTTTAAAAATATATTGTAAACATTTTTATAATACTGTAATTCTAATTGAAATATTCATGTACCTGTATTCTATTATTATATTTAAAAAGCTCCACATAAAGTTAAGCAAATCCCTTACCTGGGTTCTCAGAACACTGGACCGGTTGCTGTGGAACATTGAATACTGTCCTATCATCCAGCAAGAGAGTCTCATATAAATGAGGGTAAGTAAAGCTTAATGCTTTCAAAAATATATAGAATGCACGTTCCCCTTGATTAGGCAACAAGTCCAACATTAATTCGGTGCGTTCCCTTCGAGTGCCTCTTTCACGTATTTTATAAATCACATCTGGTGTGAAAATAAACTCTTGAATCAGATAGTTATTAATGTTGTCAGTGTCAAGGTCGTCTGCAATTATTCTTCTGTTCTTTTGAAGAATAAACTTGTGCCTTTCATCCATTTTATAAAAAAACTGTAAAAATATTCTTGAATTCTTAATTCTCATATCATCTGAGAAAGAGAATGAAAAATGCAGAAATCTGTAATTTACATTTAGAATCTTGAAAGATTATGAAAATTTATGCTTAAATTACTACATACAAGGTACAATATATGCGAGTCCAATTTCGAAATTCTTTTTTTTATGCAGGGGCCTGGGTTACACATCATCAAGGCTACAGAATTCCAGGGTTCAGGAGGGAAGATGGTTACATTGAACAGTAAATGATTTATTTTAACTGCTGTTATAGCAACATTAAAAAGTACAACTCAAATAAATTTAACAGACCATTCTGATTCAATATTTATTTTGGTATATCATATCAGTTCAGTTTATTTCTCATCAAAACATTGTACAAAACCGATAAAATTTGCTCAAGGCAGGACAGAAAAATATTACAATAAATGATGATGCAATGATGGTCTATAAAAGTTTTCTTTAAGAAGTAAAACTTCATTCCAATGTGGCACTACATAAAACCAATTATAAACATGAAAGTGTACAATAAATACGGTGAAAATGAGGCTAAATTGTCATAGAAGTAAAAAACGCGAAAGAAGAACAACATTAATAATAATAATAATAGTATAACATACAAATTCAATAGTGAAAAGATTGGGGGAATCAAAATATAAAAGCAGGAAACATTTAAATAATTAAAACTTTAAAATACAGACAAAATGAGGCTAAACAATTTATGTCATAAAAGTAAAAAAGCGCGAAAGAAAAAAAAACACTTTAAAGAATAACAACATTAATAATAATAATAATAATAATAATAATAATAATAATAATAATAATAGTAATAATAACAACAATACAACATACAAATTCAATAGTAAGAAAGATTGGGGAACACAAGGCCCTATATACAATAAAAAAAAAAAAAAAAAAAGTGAACATTTAAATAATTAAAACCTTAAAATACAGATAATATGAGGCTAAACAATTTAAGTCATGAAAGTAAAAAAACGGAAAAGAAAAAAAAAATTTAAAAAAAGTACTTTTGCTAGTAAACTTACTATAAATTAATACCTACATGACCTGACTTAAAGAGTATTCTGAGTATCATCGTAGTAGAAATAGAAATTCCTTTATGTTTTATTTTTCTTGGATTAAATAATACTTATGTGTCAACAATTGAAATAGGGCTGTAAAACACCTGGTGCATGCTGTCCAATAATTTGTTATCAAGCACTCTTTAGATATGCACCTCACTTTAATAGGCTTTGCTCGCTATATGAAGCTTTAAAATGTTATAAAAGTGCTGCAGCTTATATTTGGTCCATCAAACCGAGGTAAATACGAGTTAACAGCACCTTAAAGTTCATGAATAAGGTGCGAAATCAAGACATGGTTTTTAAAGGTAACGCCCATGGAAAGTTACTTTCAATAACTTTTAATTTAAAAAAAAAGCGTTTTAAGCAAACTATTGTTGATTTTATTTAGCCATTTTGCCAATTTATGTCTTTCTGGAAGTGTTGCCGTTTTGGTTTACTGCTGTTTTGACTTATTGCCGTTTTGGTCCATTGCCGTTCTGGTCTAAAAGCGTTGCCGTTTTGGTTTTAAGCCATTTTGACTTATTGCCATTTTGGTTTTTTGCCATTTTGACCTGTTCCCAGTAAAACGGTAAGAGCTACTCTCGTCTGTCCACAAGCAAGTGGGGCTATATGGACCAGCACACCTGGCTACACGTCACGAAAGATGTACTGGGTTCTTTTAAGTGCACACAAGCTAAATTCCATACAATGGGCCTACTGTTTATAGTGCTTATCCGAGAAGACTTGTTCCACCACCGGAACCATAGAATAGGTAAGCGTGCCGTTCAAACCAGCTGTTCAAAATGATGTTGCAGAATCTCACTCACAACAATATATTTCCTCCATGGTCACAATAAAAGAAAAGTTAATACACAGATGGAAATACATGTGATTTATTTAACAATAATGATAAAAGACAATATTGTCTTTCAATAGATCTAGGCCTAGGTAGGCCTACGCTACATTGGCTTGGGACGTAATCATTTTAATCAGGTTTCAAAATAAATAATTTGCACTGTTTGTTGTCTCAAAATAAATAATTTGCATTGTTTGTTGTCCCTAATCAAGTGCCTAACTGGTTATTGTGTTCTTTTACTTGGTGTCTTTGTTCTAGTTATTAGTATTGTCGCTTTTAAATTCGAAAACGTCCAAATGACAAAGATTAAGCATTGGCTAAGCCGAGCCTATCTAGTCCTATGCCTAGCATTGCAGCCTAGCAAGTCGTCTACGCCTACCTCTACCAGCTAATTCGTCATGATGATGGTCCTAAAATAACGTTTGGTTTTTCCCAAATGTACAATAATGGTGTATGGCTCCTCCGACTTGCGATTAGAGAACGGACGTCTATGGAACGTCGTTACTGCCTTCTGTATTGATGTTTCATCATGCTGTTATTCTCAATCGACATTCAGTTCTCAATCGACATGCTGTCAATGTAATGTCAATTAAGAACAACGTAAAATGCTGATTGAGAACAACAGCATGTCGATTGATAACTGAATGTCGATTGAGAATAACAGCATGATGAAACATCAATACAGAAGGCAGTAACGGCGTTCCATAGACGTCAACTGTGTGTTATGATTGGTCAAACAAGCACGTGACAATGCATGACAGGTCGGAGGTCGACATGTGCCGCCTCGCTTGTTTTGTTTTGATAATAAATAATAATAATAATTTATTCGAACATACACTTTTACATCAGTGGCACGCGTCAAAGGACGGTGCGTTCTAAAATAACAAATTCAGATAAACCAATATACATATATATATATATATATATTCAGATACCCCAGCACAGAAACTCAGTTCGAGGTTTGAAAAGGCAACATGTTTATGAACTTATCGCGTCAACAGTATCTAGACTTACCGCGTATTTAATAACAATATAAATACCTTTCCCCCTGCCCCGCGCGCCTCTACCTATCCCCTGCCACGCTCTCGGTGGCCCTACCTTTCCCCCTGCCACGCTCTCGGTGGCCAACCTTTCCCCCTGCCCCGCTCTCGGTGGCCCTGGACAGCAGAGGAAAAACGGTCTTTCCATGACGTAGCGACTTTATGATTAGAAAAATTTGCAGGCAACAATAATAACATCAATAATAATAATAATAATAATAATAATAATAATAATAATAAATAAATAAATAAAAATAATAAATAATAATAATGATGATGATGATGATGATGACGATGATGATGGTGATGATGGTGATGATGATGATGATGGTGATGATGATGATGATAATAATAATAATTGAAAATATATAGTGCAAATTATAAACAATGTTAAAATCAAATGCGCTTTAGAATGGAAGTTACGATGTTTCCTTCAAAAATAATAATATATTAATTAACGTTATAAATTAATTTTCAAAAGGTTGCTTTTTTATATATAGTACGATAGGCCCAAAATGAGGCCTAGATTATTTATCATTTTAAATTTTTTTATTTATCATTTTTAAATCACCAAGTCGAAGATGTTTCTCTATCTGCAACCCCATCATAAAACGTTTAGGTCTAGGTATCATTGTCTTTTGCTGTTGGACTACGCACTCTACCAACCACGTCATGGAAAGATTATTTTTTTCTCTCCTGTATAGTTCTTTTCACTTATAAAAAAAAAATACGAATAAATAGTAATATACCCGGCCTCTCATAGGTTTGTGTGTCTTTTGCTGTTGGAAGACGCACTCTACCAACCACACGTCATGCAAAGACTATTTTTCCTCCTGTATAATTCTTTTTACTTATTAAAACAATATACGTATAAAGAGTAGTAATTCATTTATTTATTGTTAAATCATAAGTTTAGAACTACTGTTGACACGATATAATTTCATTACAGTAAAACAAACAAGTTATGTTTTTTATCTCATGACAAGGATATTGTCTTGTCCTTTTGTATTATTGTTTGTAATGTTTAATTGGTGAAATAAATGAAATGAAATGAATGATTGCTGCTTTCGAACAGTTTCTGTGCTGTGGTTTCCATATTAAAACCAGTCAAAACAAACAAGCAGCACAGCACAGTGTCGCCTCTACTCGCCTCGCCTCTAAGTATGCCACCGTTCTAAAGGTGAAGTGTCAATAAATAATAAATGATACAACATCTAGGTTATTCACCAATAATATTTGTACAACATTCATACGTTACAATACACATCAATCAACAAGAATTACCGTATTTTAAACCAATGAATTACATCGAGATATGGCCTTTGCGTTGGCGTACAGCGGCGTATTTCTCGACTGAGACGTCACTGGGAGATGTAATTTGTATGGCAAGGAGATGGTGCTATGCCTTAATTTGTATTATGGAATTTACGCCACAAACCTTGTAGTTATTAATATTTTTGTTATAATAGAACATTTTTATTTTTTGGTGACGTCACACTCACAATATACAGTAGTTAACATGCATACGTCATAAGATTACGTCACCTTTTCCTAAGGCAAACTTTCCCGGCGTGCTTTTTTCATGGATAAACGAACACCTCCATGTTACAACCTGTACACATGGTTATACTGGTACAAAACTATTTCGATTCAGAATTAATAATTATAAACAATTAATTCTTGCAACCAAGCCAACCAAGCATTTCAACCAGACTAATAATAATCTTCAATGTGTAATCATTGGCAGCAATTTTCGTTCACTTACACAGCGAAAAATCACAGAACTTAAAATCTAAAAATTCATTTATTTGGACTCAATAAGGATCTTGGGATACTAACGGATTCAAATTCTTGTTTTTCTTCTTTCTTTTTTTTTTTTGTAGTAGTCAGGCGAAAAATACAGTAAATCCGTTTTGTAGCGCATTACATCACTAAAGAGGGTTGTAATGTGGAAAGTTTGAAACGGAAGTTTGATGATTTATAATGAGTATTAAAACGGATATATTATAAATTAATTGAAAACACAGAAACCATTTCATGGTGTATACAATACATCATATTATGTTTGGCGCAGCCCGTATTCAAGAATAGCACTTATCAATCGTTTACGATAATTATACACAAAGACCAAAACACAGTAGACCATATTTGTGTAGCATTACATCATTAAAGAGGGTTGTGCAGAATATGTTGTAATTTGGAGTGTTGTAACGGAAGTTTGACGATTTATAGTGTATTAAAACGGACATATTATAAATTAATTGAAAACACTGAAAGTATTTCATGGTGCATACAATACATATTTGTATTATGTTCAATTTGGTGCAGCAAGTACTCAAGAATAGCGCTTTCAATCATTTATGGTATACAGATATATACAGTACAAAGAAATAAATTTAATTTTCTACACCATTGTCAATACAGTATTGTAGTTGTTTCAAATTTTATTCACACCATCATCACGAATGCCATGACATCCTTAGGAATTCTTGCAACTAGCCCACTATTTATAATGTGTATTAAAACGAACTGGAAATTAAGTATCTTATCTATAAACTACTTGAAAATAATTAAACAGTTAATGGAAACAACAACTGCATGGTGCATACAATACATGATTAAATTGTGTATAACAAACAAAAATAATATAGTAAAGATATATCTTAAAAGTTGGTTAATTATGACAAATAAATATGCCGGTAATAATTATAGCTAAATTTTTTTCTATAGTTAACAAGCGAGTCCAGGAAATATATTTATTTCTTCTTTAGTCTGGGTAAACCAACTATGAAAACAGTCATCCCTTTGTCTCCGAAAAATAATAATGATGGCAATTAAGATTGTTACTAAACTATAAATTTACCCCTCAAAATTCATATGCACACCAATTTGATAATCATTACTACATATATTATAGGTTAAAAGTCTTTCAATATTTTATATATTTGTATGAAAACCCATTTACAACATATCCATTGTACTAAATAAATCTCCAGAAAGCTTAAATATTTTACAGTTGAAAAAATGGTGAATACATATACAAATATGCAACTCCTAAAAATCGTTTTATGATAGAATGCGCGAAAAATTAAAACTATTGTTCATGATAGAGCCACAACAGTTTCAAACTTTAATGAGTCACAAATGGAAAGAAAAGGTTTTAAACCATCTTTAGATATTTTACTACAGAAGTCCCTACAATTTTCTACCAAGACTTTACGGGTATAATCAATCAACGACCGTTGGTATAGTATTATTTAAACATCTCTTATTTTGCCTGTAATTTTTAGTTGAAAGCTAACTTATTGAAAAACACCTATTAATAAAATATTCATCTTTTGAAAGTTTATACCAGATAAAGGTGGCAGTATATTTTTTTTAACAATTACAAATAACAAACTTGAAAGAAAATTGGAAGAGTCTGGTACAATGAATAAGTAAAGGCTGCCAGTCAGAAGGAGAAATCACATGATTACTTGGCGAAGAGGTCAATAACATACATAATGTGATTTGATTGTATAATCTATAATGATATTGTTTCATTTGATTATTGTTACTTTGGTTTTCAACATATCTATTGCAGTATTATTTGTTAATAAGCTGACTCAACTGTAAAAAAATACAATATATCAACCATTATATTAAAGCACATTTAGGTATAGTACAGTAGTTCACATGCACACAAGAAAAAAAACTAAATTACTGACAAGTAAACTTAAAAAAAAAAAAAAAGACTTTCACTGAATGCAGTAACAACACGCAACCAAGATGTAAAACAAATAACTTTGACAAATAACTGTTGTACTGTATGCCCATATATAGCCATGACGTACCTATACTGTAATATATGGTGATGATGTGATGTCATCATGACCATATTTAGGCATGTTACATGTTTTTGTCAAAAATAGAATTTGATAGTTTGGATGGTGCTTAATAATTTTAAGTTGCCACACAGCATTCAAAGAAGATGCTCAGGATTATAAATGATTCCAATTTTGTAGAAGTGTTTTGTCGCAGCGGGAACAGTTTGGTTTCCCAAAATCAAGGCCTGGGTTTCAATACCTTGCTGTGCATTCTGCTGGTGTCCTTGTGCAAGGCACTTTATCTGCATTACTACTCTCCACCCAGGAGTATAAATGGGTACCTGGCGGGGTTGCCTACTCCTGCGCTGATTACCAGCAGCAACACTTAAAGCATATGTTTGTATGGTATTTTTAAAATTGATATCTCTAATCTTATTTCTGTTAATTCGCGGCATTATGATCATCTTAAGTTTACTCACAGATTTGCTCGTACAAATGCTTTTAAGTTCTCCGTTTTTAATTGTTTTCCACGAATATGGGATCGGCTTCCAGTTGATCTTAGGGATGAACTTTGTTGCAATATTTATATATTTATTAGAAAATTGAAGGTACATTTTAAGCCCTAAATTTTAAACACTGTAAAAAAAAAAAAAAAAAAAATTAATGTTTATATAACTGCCAGCCATATATTTTTAATATAAATTGTATATAGTTTGACATTAATTCAGATTGTATTTTTTTTTTTTTTTTTTCAGCGGGAACAGTTTGGTTTCCCAAAATCAAGGCCTGGGTTTCAATACCTTGCTGTGCATTCTGCTGGTGTCCTTGTGCAAGGCACTTTATCTGCATTACTACTCTCCACCCAGGAGTATAAATGGGTACCTGGTGGGGTTGCCTACTCCTGCGCTGATTACCAGCAGCAACACTTAAAGCATATGGACCCAATGACCAGGGAAAAGAAGTACACATTATAACCTCAAGGAAGAGGCACATTATAAATGCCTATACAAGTACCATGTCCAGTTGCTGTGTTCAGTGGAAATCAGCCCATCATTCTTTGGCGTTAGCAACTGGATGAGTTATTTTTTCCCATTAATATTTAACAGTTACCTCAATTGTTAATTAATATATTCTTATACAAAAATCAAACAAAAACAATAATGGAATGGTAATTTTAGTGTAAAAAAATGATCACAGGGAAGTCGCAATTTTTTCATTGCATGACTAAAGCTCTGTGAACACTATCAAATATTGTGTGACAAAAAATGTGATATGCCCATATTTGGGCACATCACACAATTTTTTTGCATAATATAGTGTGGTCTAAGCTTACGTTGAGGGTGCTATAACAACTGTAAGAAGCTGATCATCTTGTAATACTGTAGATGAATCAATATCTTGCTAAGTTAGATACACGCCAGAAAATGCTGGCAAGAATACTCTTAATGGATTACCATTTTGTTAATTGGGTGAAGAAATACTTCCTCATTTAAATTTTGATTTAAATCCAAATATAATTACGTTTTAAGATTTTTTTTAGTTTAAAATTAATGTTATATCTTTAATGATGATGAGACGTAGTTTAGGATCGTGCTTGTTCTTCTAGTCCTAGCTCAAAGAGCAGCATTCCCATAGGTGTACGCTTCAGGCCTAGCGATTCCAACTTCTTTCCCATCTTGTTCTTTAGATTGCGCATACGCATAGAGGCGTGAATGAAAATTACTACAAGAAAACAAACAATTATAGATTAATGGTGGAATGAGGATTCAAGGTAAGGAAGGGATGGGGAGAATAATTTAGCAGGAACAATTTCTATTATTCTATCATTAAATATCTTTACTGATCTGAAAATCAGTCATTGACATCATAATTGTTTTTTTTTTTTCAATAACAAAAGATTAATGTATATGATATCCATATCTGACTTTTATTATTTAATATTACTATTATCAAAAGATTTTTTTTTAATATATAAAGATTAAAAACCACTTACTTGCAATGGGGAAGAGTATTCCCATCATAAACACCAACACACCCCCATACACATACATGCAGAAGTAGACAGCGGCTAAGATCAATAAGACACTCAACATCGGATGATTCTGTTTCATTTGAATTAATTCTCTCCTATTATTCGTTGCATACACAAATCCAGTAAATACCAATGCCATTACCAGTAAGCCAATCAGCATCGGAGCAGGATATAAACATCTGAAAATTAATTCATACTTAACACCTGAGTGTGTGCCATAATGTAAGGTTTTATAATAGCGTGGATGACACCTCAAAAACAAGCTCAAACTTGAGAGGAAAATAGCTAGGGGAATCGTAATTACTGCATAATACACTGCTTATTTATTAAGATTAGATCAAACTCTAATTATCTGCAGAAATTTGCGTGGAAATAGGCCCTTATTTTCCTAAATGCGTAGACGAATTTTTAGGCCAAGCCAAAATTTTGCACAAAGGATTTATTCCTTGTACCTTACTTTACAGTCTGCATTGTGTATATCTTTGGTAGACATGTAGGCATTTTTTTGTAAAATAAAGTAATTTTAAATGAGCACACATAGTTATTTTTTTTGGTGAAATATTTCATTGGTCAGTCTTTTTTTACTTGTATTTTCTTATTGTTCTTTGAAATATGTTTTTATATTTTGGGTTGGTGGAGGTTTTGGATGGGCACGTCCTCGGATGACAGTTTTATAGTTTTGCCCATCCTCGGCTATCCCTACCTACTTAGTTTCTGTTTACTGTTGAAAGATTTGAATTAAAAAAAATGTAAAAGTTTTTTACCCTGATAAGAGTGATGACAGGCTTTTATTAAATTTTACATTTTTCTGATGAAAAAAAGCATTACTTGGTTTATAAATGTAGTACAAACTACCTCTAACACAAAAACAAACAGGAAACACTTAGCTAAGTTGTAATAATATAACTTAATTGGAAGTTTCCAATGAAAGACTTCCAACCAGTGGCTAATGGAGGTGCTACATTACAAAATGTGGGGGGGGGGGGGTTTCATTCCCACGATATGAAATGCTCTTTATTTATAGGTTTACTGTATGTAAATACATTAAAACAAAGTATAAGCTGGACAGATTTAAAAAATTCCTGCTTCAGGGATGGTAAACGAACAATGAACTTTATAAACTGAAACCTAATTTCCATTAAAAATCAAAATTAGTTTCATTTCATTTCAAATTATTTCCCATATTTAATATTGTATCAACATTTAAAATTTTAAACAATTGTAAAAGAAAAAAAAAAAAAAAAAATATGCATTTTTGCTGGTTACAATATTATTCATAATGTCACCATTTAAGTATACAGTTGCAGCACCACGGGGAGAGGGAAAACAAAATAAGAATAAGAGATTACAGTATTTGTGAAAATCCGTTTTACCTACCCGATAATCAAGAACATTACGATCATAAACAACAAATAATTTGCTTGATAATAAAGCATATTGTCTATAATTCTGTTTGTCCATCGAATTGGATCGGTAAATGTTGGACAGGAAAACCGTGCCGACCCGAGTAAAAAATCGTCTATTGGCCTGAAAGGAGGAAATTCCACGTCCCCATTCATTGTTTCTTTGCCTTTCTCTGGCTAGTGCGACGATCGACCCAGACCACTCACTGACAAGGCTAGCCGCTAGTAGCTCTCAATCAATGACAGAGCTTGTTGGTTGGCTAGAAAGCTGATGGGATGAAAGACTTATTCTCACAGTTTTACAACGTGTTATAGACTTTAACTACTGCCAAAGATAATGGTTTGATTACGCAGATTATAAGCGTGGTAAACAATTAAAAAAAAATTAAAAGACTCTATGCATGGATTTCCTTTTACGACCAAAGTTAATGGCTCTTCCATTTTTTGAATGTAACATCGCGTGATTTTACGTCAAATCATAGTAACT